AATTTGTTTACAGATACTTTTGCAATGTAACACAGATACATAAAATGTAAATAAAATCATTTTCAGACTTCAATACCAAAATTTGTTTTGCAAATATCCTTTTGAGATTAAAGACCAAAATAAAGTATATTTTTTATTCTCAAACGCTCTGATGTTAGTATGGCACAGTAACCTAAATTCATAAAACATTAATTTTTTCTTTGTGAATTGTTTCAAATGAGACACAGATTTAATAGTAGGAAAAACTTAATTATTACTTGCATTCATAGTATTCTTTTTTTTTTTTGTTGGTACACAAGTAGCTTAATGAAGTATTAATCAGTTTTTTAAATTATGTCATATTTTTATATTATATAGCAAAATATCCATAATGAGTCTATTGAAAGTATCTCATAGCCGTTTTTATACTCGCAGATAAGTTAATTTTTCATCTTGTTTGTTTAATATTGCTAACATTTATTTATATTTATGTTAAATTAAAAAAATTCTCTATATATATTCATAGCTCCACATATATGTCTATTTAAAAATATTTATTATTTTTTATTATTATTGTTATTTTATTATTATGTTGAAGCTATTTGAGCCAGTGCACTTGAGCACTTTTACTCTTTCTTGACTGGATTATTGTTTATCACTTCATCAGACTAAGCAATAATTGGCATCAGATCTGCATACCTCCCCGAGAAGCCTGTAACCATTCTGAGATTTGATAACGCGGTGTTGGTAAGTCTGTCAGTTTTCTTAAATAATTTCATGGCTCTATCATTTATGTATTATTTTATCGGATCAATCTTGAAGTCCCCGAGGATGCCATTCGTCCTAATGTACTATGGTACTTTGAAAAGTCTTCTCAAAGCCTGGCTTTGTGCAATTTTTAGCTGGCGAATAGCAGTGTTTGAAGTTTTGCTCAACGCTACACATCCATATAGAAGGGACGGACGAACTATTTGGTTATATATCAGTTTCCTATTCTTAGCATTGAGATTTTTATTTCTGAATAGTGGTTGGAGGTGATGAAGAATTTTTATACAACTAATTCTTTGCAGTTGAACATATGAATCGTTTGTCCAATGTTTGTTTATATAATTTTTTCTAATAAAAATTTGCAATAAAGAGAACTAAACCAATATTTTATATACAAAATTTTAAAATCTTTCTAACCTCAAGTTAATTTCAGAATATAAAATGAATTATGTTTTAAGAATTTATGGTACTTCAGTTTATTTAATCTCATTATATCAGCTTCAGTTCATAATAATAAGGGAATTGAGTTTATTTACCTTTAGGTATATGGACGTTTCAAAGTTCAATACTCAGAGACTTGCAATTAATTTCGATACAAATAACTAACTACAATTTCCTTACAAAATGTATTTGTTTCAGTGCAAGGATCTATTCAGCAATAACAGGTCTTATAATTTAGCATTCAGTGAAACAACAACAACCACAATAACAATAGCAACAACATTCTACTATGAGGAGTGCTATTCAAATTCAATTGAGTTTTGTATGCAGCTAATTAAATACGTGACTACTTGAATTGAAATTGATTTTTATTGAATTTAGAGTAAATCGTTTCTGCGAATGTTTGGCAAAATATCCTGGTACATATTTTGTGTATTTTAGAAAAGTAATCCAAATAAAATCGCATTTTAATTGAAGTTAAATGAAATGCTAATGAAAAAAAAAATACGGATATATAAATGGAAAGGAAGCAAAGCTTCAATTACAACAATGATTCTATGGTTTCGTATCTAGTTCAAAAAAATTTTTATTAAAATAATAGAATTCATTAAAAAAATTAAAAGTATCTAGAAAAAGTTGAAATATATAAAGAATTCTAAAATATAAAAAAACATATGCATTAGGTTAATTTAATTCGAATGCAAAAAATATTAGTGGAATTCACGATCACGGGTAACGAATTCAGTAATCGAGTAACTTGAAACCACTACAAAACGGCAGCAGTATAGTGCCTCTTCGCGATTTAGTTGTCACCGTTTCACACTAGAATACTCTATTATTTCAAATCCATGGACGTGACTTCGTTCAATATTTTAAATGCTATTCATTTAAATCCTATTCATAAAGTTGATCAACTTTACATAGGTGATATAATGGGTAGCTTGCAATGTTCTGTAAGCTTTGTCTGTTTATTAATTGCAGCACAAAGTTTATTGGTGAGTAATTGTTATAATGAGGAGTTACGTTGATAACTTCTGATAGTGTGATATGTATGTGATCTGTATAGAATAACTTTTTAGTTCGAGCTGTTTCGAATTGATGTTGTCTGTAGCTGTCGCGCGGTGGTTGGCCACATGCCGCTGTGGTTTAGCCAGGCATCCCTGTAGCTAGTCTCACATTATCGCATATTGCTGCGTAACGATGCTGCTTTAGTCCTGATTAAGAGAATTATGTGCAGCTAACTGTAACTCGGTAAATGTCAGTGTATGCTATGACATGTCGGAGCTGATTACATAGGTCTAAATTTTAGGATATATTTATCACTTTACCAGTGGTATACGCTATTGTGATGCATTTGCTGAAAACTAAGACCACGTGTGGTGCTTATTTTAAGGAATTACCATTTACCCTGGGCTGTTACGAAGTCTTGGGGAGTCTGGGTACCATCCCTTATTTTTTTTTTTTTTGTTACGCTGACTGTCGTAGCATTTATTTGGCATCACCTATGTTAAGTTATTGTCGTTAACATACATTGATAACTGCTTTTCTGGAATTTAATATAAATTCTGTTATAACTTTGTGACAAAATTGGCAGCAGGGAGGAGTTTGCAGTTAAATTAAAGTGGTTTATAAAGCTGTTCTTCGAAGAATTTCGCTTCAGAGAATATTGCTTTATGAGATAGTATTGAAGTTCTCTATTGTTTTCACTTATATTAATACTGCTTGTCTTTGTTGGCAAATCAAAGTGCAGACGTTCTTTACTCGTTAATGTTAATTGGTTGTTTTTTTAATCTGCTAAGACTATAATTCATTGTAGTCTAGAAAATAACTTTTTTCTTGGATGCAATTTTGTTTAAAAAAACTTATGGAAACAACTCTTACCCAGGGTCACTACAACTCTAACTTTCAATTTTTTTTTACGACAGGTGAAAGGCACCAAGAGCCAAAGAATGTTATTTTACAGCACTAAAAATAAAATGTTGATAAAATTCCGCCCAATCCTGCAAGTCTGTGTCGGTTACACTCAGTTCCGTGACCTTTCTTTCGTTGCTGTTGTTGACCAGGTTTCGGTCCTCGCATTAACTCAAAATGCCACTTACAGGCATATTTGGTTAAAAACGCCCTTCGAAAGCACTAAACTTTTGATTTCTCCGAAAAAACTTTTAATCCTCGATTAATAGGTCTCAGTATATTTATCAGAATGATATGTTTTGATTTTCGCATACATGAGCGTTTTCAAAAAAAAGTGTTCAGTTGGTCTATTCTACTTAGTTCTTGTAATTTTTTCAATTCTAATTAAAAGTAGTAACAAATGACCTGTCAGCACGACCATTAGTTGTATTACTTTGCTCCGAAATAATTTTTTTATAATCTAAAAAATTTTATTTATAATTACCTATAGTAAATTATTCTATTATCGACACAAAATTAAAAAAAAAAAGCTTTTTATTGTGGAAAATATTTATTGCTCTTAACAAAGTGAATTTTTAGTTATTTATCATTATATCTTTTTTATAAGGAAGAGTTAAAATTTTCTTTTTCAATTTTATATTTCAAAACAACCATTTAAAAATAGTTATATTTAATTAATTTTTAGAAAAACGCAATAAAAATGACAAAAAATTATTCTTCTGCATTTCCTGCAAATAAACTTAATATTTTTAATTGTAATTTTGCATAATGAAATTAGAATATAAAAGCAATTAAATTTAATTAATATTAAGAAAATCATAATTTACGAGTTGTTGATTTTATAATAATGTATTTATATAAATTACATATATAAAAGTATTTTATATTATTTATGTGAGTAAATGGCAATATTCTTCTTTTTGATACAAATTATGTAAAATTTATTCAGTTTATGCTTCAATAAAATATATCTTTATTTACACAATAAGAGTTATTAATTGTGGATGAATGAATGAAGTATATTATTCACTGTTTGTAAAGATTACTTATAAAACATATTGACATAAAAATTTCAAGTATATATCAAAATTTAAACAGAATTTCAAATCCAAAAATATTTATTTAATGTTATTTTATTATAAAATGTTTGTAATTACTGAGTCATATAAAATATAAATTATTTATTTATTCAAAATATTTATGTTCAAACTTAGTAAAATTAGGTAAGTTTTATTTAATTTGTATTTCAGTAATAAGAGTCATATTATAAGACAGATACTAATTTAATAGACTTACTATTATGTACTTTTAACATGAAAGTAATTGGCATTAGACAAATTCATAGACAAATTCATCAAATTGATATCAAGTATTTGTTTATTATCTCAGAAATAATAATTTCACTCTTTTGTTTAATAGAAAATAAGGTATGACTTAATAATTATTTATTAACTAAATTTAAAATTTATTTAAATTGAAGTTTTCCAATAGTAGTGAACTACAACAGCATAAATTATTTTTATATTATTTTAATTAATTTAATTTTTGGCTGACCAAATAGCTATTTTGAATATTACTAAATACCCATCATCATTGGTCTTGGAAATAATTCATGTATTTACTTATTCGTAAATAATTTATTGAGACTGCAAGTACTAGGAATCGAACTCGTATCCCCCCCAAATTTGAAGCTCAGTGTCAGCGTTTCTTAACCAACTGATCCAAAGCCGTACTTGACTTTTATGTTCGCACATTTTTCTAGAGTTTTGTTAATTTATTTTAATTTGGATTTAATTACATTTAAATTTAAAATATATTTAAGTTTAAATTTATTGAAATATAATTATGTTCAAAATTATTTATATTTTTCTTTATTGTACAATATTTAGGCAATCAAATACCCGATTAAACCAAATCACTCATTAAATAGAAAGAGTATAATGGCTGGTGGCAAAACCAAATGGTCTTATTTGAATTCATTAAAAATGCTATAGAGGTTTTTGTGGCTTTCAATAACATGGACTGTAAGCTACTAACTGGTGCGACACCTCTTTGGTTCTGGCTTCACTGACAACAGTTTATAACGCCTTTGCTTGGACGAAGGTGACGTCATGGAACATTTGTTATCCATAGACTCGTATAATATCTGTAACAATGTAATAAGTCAATTTCACTGCCACTAAAACAACTAAAATTTATAAAAATTAGTTTTAAAATACACAAAAATATATAAATTACCTCTTACTTATAATTATTGAACCAATGCAATACCAAGACGGCATATTTAAAGTCATGTCAAGTACATTTTATACAACGTAATGGTATATAATAAAATTAAAGCAGATAATTTACTTATACCATAATAAACAAAATTACGTAAGACGTTTTTGTCAAAGCCAATTTTTTTAAATTTTATATATGAAGCACACATACTTTATATACTTACTTACGTACATATTTATTTGGGTATAATAACCCATTTCCGGATTCGGACTGATATATTATGTTTCTCCTGGCGTCACTACTACGTACGCGCCTTCATCAGTCTCGTACATCATGTTGGGTAATGCTAAACTTAATCATTTTACCGGAGACACCAAAAAGTTCTTGAGTCTTCTTTGAGAATATCCTTCGAACATTTTCCGTGTTCCCAAAAGCAGCCAAAGAAAGAGAAGCCTGTGTTTGTTTTTACAAATTATGCTTTAATAATAGTTTTAATGCGTTAAAGTATATATTAATGGGTTTCTATATTGTTTTACAACTGCTGACAATAAAATTGAAAAACAAATTCTTCTTTCATTCGCTAGGGTCGTCAATGTTAGACTTAATGTGCGATCATCTTGCTGTCGTATTAGAAGCTGTCATAGTAAATATTTTAAAATGGAGTTACATAGTCATTCTTGTATCTGCAATTGTTTCACTGCCCATCAGTCTGTTAGTATGTTTATCAGCTAATTATTTATTCAGTTAATGTTTCCATTAGAGAACCTCTTGACTCATCTGCCCATTTGGGCACCAATAATATGGCCTCTTACAGAGGAAGCTTACCGAATAAAATTTAGCATAGCATATATACACGTAATTTGACGTACTGCAAGTCGAAAAAAAAAAATTAGTTATATGGATTTGTATTATAATGTATGCGAAGCATAAATCACAGATGAAGTTGAACTAACATGTTTAATTTAAGTTACGGTTAAAAGCAATTTGAAAATTAGTAACTAATAATAAAAAATTTTTCGAGAAGAGAACTATAATCTGTAAACTGCATGTGTTTTCCTACTTGTCCAGTCCAAATGAAAACCTTAGATATTAAAGAATTCATTGGTGTTTTATTAAAATTGTTTCAAGAAGTCTTTAATATGTTTAATTATAGTCACTCAATTAGAAGTGCATGAGGTGCCGGAATATTAAAATAATTATTGTTAACATTTCTCAACTCAGAGAAAAAAAATAATTAACAAACTTTTAATTTCTGTTCTTTATTTAACAGTAGGTATTTTCCCTGCCAGAAAGCAGAAATAATTGAAATTCATAGGACATCAAAATTGTTTTTAATGGCACAACTTAATTATTTCGCAGCGCGTTAAAAACCAAAACTCTGCACTCGAATTATTTCTGCGAAGGAATTTTTATTGAAATCACTATGCGAAAAATTTTATTTATTTTAATAAAAATTTCGTAAGAAAAAAGTAAATAAACTCACGCTCGGATGCGTGCTAACACAATTCCCTTTTGCTGCAGGAAGGAATATCCTAAGTTCCCTCCACAAAGTAGGCAAGCACTGATTAATTTGTTTCATTATCATTAACTTGGTTTGGATTATCAAATCAGCCTAAACGCTGCCTACCATTGTGCCATTGTGGAAGGAGCGTTGTATTCATCTACATCGAAGGTGGGGTGCTACTGGTGCTGTCGGAGCTAATACCTAACACAATTTGTTATAATGTGGAATTAATTACGAAAATTTTCTAGACGCCTTTGTTAAATTTAATTTCAGTTATTTTTCATGTTAATTAAAACACAATTAGCCAAAACAGCAGCAGAATGGAACTTCTTATGCAGAAACGCACACATCAGAAAATAAATGTTACACATTTCATCAATTAATTAAAATTCTAAAAGATTAATAAAGAGTTTTTCATCTCACAGCAATTAAGCAAAAAAGATGCGAAAATTTCTTAAAAATGAGATTTTAATTATTTTCGACTTAAAAACAAACATAAATTTGCAGAAGTAGAGAAAAAGTTCAATTTTTAGTCTAACAGTCACGAAATAATACTTGACCTATTATCTGCAATGAAGTTTGTAAGGAGTAAAACTATCACCACAAATTATGTAAAATAATGTTATAGTCCTTTCTAAAAATAAATTTGAAGACTTATTAGAGACTAAGAATGTTCTCTGACAGTTAATAAGCAACTCTTAGTATGACTTATCACCAGCTTAACAGGGCTGATGATATTTTCAGAAAGATGAAAACAAGTCTGATAATGAAAGTCTTAGACTTGTAGACTAAGATGAAAGTCTTGTTGAGTTTAAGCAAACGGATACCTTACCAGTATTAAAAAATTTAACTTCGAATATTTAAGAACAACGTGCTCTCACTCCCAGTCCCAAACTAGATGTTGACATCATTATAGTTTATTAATATTTCTGAAGAGAAGTCACATCATCACTTAAATCCTTAAAGTATATAATGCATACAACACATATATTATGTTATATATAATTTATACAACACTAACAAGTACTTATCTTATCCCTGGTACTTGCAGTCTCAAAAAATTATTTACGAGTAATTAAAAATAAGAAAAAGTTCCAAAACCACTGATGATAGGTATTTGGCAACACTTCAATCAAAAGTTCAATTCATTTAAATAATATATAAAGATTTTTTGTTGTTGTTCTTCACTACTTTTTGAAAGAATAATAATATAATAATATAAGAATAATAACGAATAATAACATATGGACAGAAACATGTCTTTCAATTAAGATGAACCATTACAAAAGTATATGTAATAAAACAGCAGTTAAACAATAAAGAAAATATATTAAAGTACCGTAAATATTTTATAAATATAAAAATTTAATTAAAAATCAATTAAAAATATTTAATGATGAATGATGATGTGATGAAATAAAGGTAATACCGACAGAAATGTAATATGGAACCATTACTTTACACTAATGATATGATACGATAATAAATTAGAGTAATGAATGAAGGAAGGATGGGATTCTAAGAAGAGATGGTGCTTGTTAGTACTATTGATAATGCTCAAATATTTCAAATATTTATATTTAGTGATCTGTCTAACATTCCAGCACATGGCATCAGGTAATATAAGAAGCTATCACCGTTTTTTATTACTTGATGATGGTGGTACCTATACAACTGGCAACACCTATACCTATGACTATTAATTTATTTTGAATTTTTTAAAAACAGTCCAAGAAAAATAAGTAATATTTAATGGACCTGTGGCTTTACTGCAACAAACACGCTATAAAAAAAAATCTGATATACAAATGTTAAGTGTTTACAATCCAAAAAAACTGTACACGCTTTCTTAGGGCTTATAGATGAAACAGTATGCCCCAGAGTGTTGATAAGGAATAAACAGAGTATGTATATATATACACATATGCACATACAAGAATACTACCATTCAAATATAACTTTTATTCCATATTCTTGTCCATTTATATACATACATATGTTACATATGTCCATTGACAACATGTCATCATAACAAATATTTTATAGAGCTTAACTTGCATGGACTTTTTTTCTATTCGGTAAAAAAAATTCCAATAAGAATATTCGCTCACAACAGAATAGAATCGATCATCTGCATAAACTTATATGCATAGATATGTGCGTATATTGCTGTTACTTGTTTCACTTACGCAGCAATAAATGAGTGCTCTCTCTAATTCATGGTATTTTAAATGATCAGCATAAATAAATAAATAATGTGACCAGAGTTGCAGTTTTAGCACTTTTGCTGCTAGATTTAGCAATTTTATTTGTGAAATAGCTGCAAAATTTGATTTTAGCATTTAGCATTTTATTTAGTATTTAAGTAAACTTTTTTCGGCATTATTTAGAAAATAGTTTAAAAATTAGTAGGAGTAATAGAACCTTTCAAGAGGAAAAGATAAGGATCAGTGATAAGAAAATCACCAATATAGGACTTCAGTGGCATAAATTAACACTACTTACTTGGAATAATATAATTCGATTTCTGGATTCATTGATTTTTGGATTTATGTGCTTGAATACAAGAATGCAATATATGAAAATCCCTTTAATGAATTGGCGACGTTTGTCATGAAATATTTAGTGTTACCTTTTAGTAATGCGGAGGATGAACGTCAGTGGTTTATAAGCAACCTATATCATGTCAAAATTTTTAAAGGTAACATGGATAAATAGATTTGTGTTACACTTTCCAGAAACTGTATTTAAACGTTCTTAACATACCAGGAAATTAGACAATATATTAAACGCAAAATATTTTCATGTCCATTTACGCATAAGGAGATTAAATAATAATTCAAATAAATTCTAATTAAACTCTTTAATAATTATTATGTTATATTTCCATCTCTAACTTTATAATTCAATAATCCCGTTTTGATCATCAAGAGTTACAAATTACATGTTTGAACCTTTATTGTATTAAAATCATTATTAACAATCTAGAATGAATGTATAAAATATATAAAATGAAATTTTTTAACTGAATGAGAATTATACTTTTGCGTTCTAAACATAAAACGATTTCTTTTGATATTCAGTTAATGAGCTTTAGCATAAAAGCAAAGTCTGTAGTACAACTCTTTTCAAATATTCTATAACTTTTATATACATAATTATCACTTATATATTATGTAGGTGAAATGTATAATCACGGACTGAAAATCCATTTGGGTTTTCATTATGATTATGTTTGTTTTTATAAACCTAATTTTTTTTAATTTCTTTCGGATAACGAAATATATACACACTCTTTCATATTGAACAATATGTATATGGTTTTAACGTTCTCAAGAATAGACATATAACTTCGATTTTTTATTTCATCGTTAATCTTTGATTTATTTTGTTTAATATAAGGATTATTATCAAAGCAACGTCTACCCAGTAGTACTTAAAACTGCGACATTCATTATATATTATATACAGAAACGAAACAGAAACATATTTATTATAATTGAATAAATACAGTATACTATTTATATTTAATAATAAAACTTATTGTTCAGCATAAACAATATTATGAATGAAATTTAAGTAAAATGGATTGAAACTATTTTTATA